AGAAACCATCCCAAAACAATACCCCGACTGCCAAGGCCCGACCGTCAGGGGGAAACCACCCCGGACCGTCAGGCCCCGACCATCTCCCCAACCACCAGAGAGAGAACTCATCCGACCGAGGAAAAAATTACTCCGACGATCGCCAAGGGGATTCACCTCCGCGGGCGCACACTCCCTGGGGATTCTTGGATCCTTCTTCCCCCTCATCCCCTTCTCCTCCCTTGGGGAATGGGGCCCCCCTTGTTGGCCTATTTATAGTACTCAGCACTTTATGAGTCTGTCATCTCAGCACTTTATGAGCCTTACATTCTACGGTCATTCATTGAAGATCTTTCTTTGAAAATCTTTCTGATTCGGTATATAATGTACATGAAAAACTTTGAACGAATTGTTGTATTTAATCGCAATAAATTAATTTACCAATTCGTATTAAAAATTAAGATTATGAGTAGGAATGTTGAGGAGAAGTCCTTCTAGTTCACAATTCATCTTTTATAAAAACATTTATTTATTCAGTAAAACATTACAACGGTTGCTGCACTTATGCCGCATTATTCAGATTATATTCGCATCACGATATTTTAATTACTATTGTACAACTTTGCTCGACTGCTTACTATATCTTGATATACAATGACTCGATATAATTTTTGATAGATCCTATGACTTTGACTCCGATTTTTACATGACTCTGATAATAATTCCCGTAATAACTTAACTTCACTCAATATCAATAAGTGATGGTTATATGATGCTTTTTCGAGCGAGATTCTGACTACTGGTTCATATCAGCTAAATTGTTTAACCAAATGCGTGGTATAGTTCATAACCTTTCAAAAATCTTTCGGAGTGTCTGTAATTTTGCATGTGTGCAAACTTTCGAAATTTTCGCGATTTCTGTGATTTCGTAAATTTTCGGCTACACGGCGTGATTGTTGTTACGCGGCTTGTTTTTACAAGTTTTCCTATCATTGTAGCTTTTGAGCTGCGACAAAATTTTTTTGCAAATGTTTGAGAGTAGAACAACTTTATCATTAATTTGTGAAAAGTACCATAATATAATGAAACTTATTCAAATCAACGAGGACTAATTCTGATAATTCTCTTATTATGAATATTAAACCTACGCAAATTGTAGCTTTGTTCAATCCATTTTTTCAATACAAATTTTAAAATATGTTATTAATTTTTCAGAATTCGATGCCATAATAAAGATATTTTTCTTTACAAACGTTGGTCTTTATGGTCTTTTATGAATCAAAAGACATGAATCAAAAAGACATTTTGATTCCAAATTGATTCCAAAAAACAGGAAATGACTAATGCTCCTTTTTTTTAACTGTGTTATTTAATTACTTATAATTAATTGTATTGTAATTATTAATAATATAACAATAATATATAAAAACAAAAAGTAATTAGTAATTAATAAAAAATGTAAATTTAATTTCTTTGATTTAATAAAGATCTATAAGAGAGCTATACAAATAAAATATTATATATAATAATATCATACACAATAAATTTTTTTTAATTTGCTTCTTATTAAATAAAGTGTTATAATAACTTAATTATTAACAGAATAAAAACAGTAATTGTTGTAACAATAATTATTGTAATATTATTTTGATCTTAGAATACATCTTGAAAGGGAAAGTGTGCTTTATCGGGTTCGACAAGGTCAGCGAGGAAGCAAGCAGTGCCGGCAATGCCCTCATAAAGTGAGTATGGTGAATCAGGAATACGTGCATCAACTTGAAACTCTGATGAATTCATAAAATCAGCAAATTTGGCAGCACGATAGAGGTAACGCTTGTCATCGGTAAGCCTGTATAGAAGAAGAAAAACATAACCATTGCCTGCTACACCGTGACAAATTCCAGGTCCTTTACGTAGAAGACCTTTACACCAAACAAGATCGCCAGCACGTTTACATGAATCCAAATAACGCTGATCTTTCCAGCGCAAATATGCTGCCGCCATTAAATATATGACACCAGGAGCACCGTGACACCAATGCACCAACTCATCATCATTGCTTTGAAAACTTCGTCCAGAATGATCTGTTTCATCCATAGAGCATGGGAAATTACCAGTTGTTGTTTGTAAAGACAGCAAATAATCTATGCACATTCGTACAGTGTTGTTGATATCTCCATCAGTATCAAGGAATAATGGCACCTAAACAAAAAAATTACAATTAAATAATATATATGAATAATTACATCATATTAAAATTAAACAAATATAGTAATTCGAAAAGATTAATTTATGGGTATTATTTGTATTAAATGCTAACAGTTTGTGAATATTGCAGTTCACTTCATCAAAGTAAGGAGCTGATAATGCTTCTCTGTTGGAGTTATATATACTATAAAGGAGGAGAATGGCGAAGAAAGGGAAAAAAGAAGACAGAATGAAGAGGAATTTAAGACATAATAGACTGTAATAAAGAAGGATTATTTTTTATCAATCGGAGGGCAGTCTTCTATGTCACTTATAGTCATTATTTCTATCTTATTAGAAAGCATAGCGAGTATCGTGGCGAGTAACTTAGCGTTCCGTTTTCCGGGAAGTTCTTCGTGCATCGGACAGAAGGGAAGATCCGCGTGATCGTCATGAAAATACCACGGATATTTGAGATCTCGAAAGTAACCAATATCGGAATCAGATATGACGTCCGTACCGTCTCGGTTGAAGATAGACTGTCGCAATCCTCGCTATTATACAAATTCTTCCTTATTATGTTTTCTTAAGAAAAAAAAATGATATGCCCCTCACGCTCAATAAAGATATATATATACCCCGAAGCAGTGTCGAACGCACGCCAAACCGCTGCTTTCTCGCGCCAAAAACTTAATATTAATACGACAGAGGAAAATTCCGTCCTCGTCGACGAGATCAGATGTGCGAGAAGAAAAACATCCTTCCTAAAGAACGAGAGTCCTCGTGCTATCTCGCGCCGAGATCACCTCGCATCGAGGTCTTCTTCCGAGTCACGTTTTCCGATGAGACTGGACGCGCGAGTAAAAAAACATCCTCTTCGAATCACGAAGTATAAACTTGCAAGTCTCGTCCTCCTTGGACAAGGCAATGAGATCGGATGCGCGGGAGAAAAACATTACCATGATAGAACGAAATACCCCCGGGGATACTGCTACCAACAAACAATCACGACAAAACCTCCAGGAATATCACTATCAATATACCTTCCGGGATATCCCCCCCCCCAATACAATATTCTCAGGAGTCTCAAAGGTCTCAGGAAGTCTCAAATCATTCACCCACTTTTTCATACCTCAAGGGAAACCAACCCTCTATTAAGACTCCCTCCAAGATTGAAAGACCATCAAAGGATTTCAAGTCACAAACGGAAAGCAAATTTCATAACCTCAAGGGAAACTGAATCCTCCTCCTTCCTTTCTTTCTGGGATATGAGATTATTTGCCTACTTATGTATAAATGTATTAAAAAATGGTCGGTTTTCCCTGAAGATTTCGTTTAGCTGCGCGAATTAAATCGCCAAATTTGACGTGTTTTCAATAATTGTATTAGATTTATTTATGTTTGTACAGTGTAAATTAGACTAACGATTAAAAATTGTTGATCATAAAAGCATTACACGCGATATCGTGTTTGTGATATTTTAGCCATGCTGACGGAGTGCAATTTCGTTTTATTCGCGGCGTTTATTTAATTAGTGTGGATCGGACGTCTGTGGTTCAGCGAGATCGCCATAGAGCCATAGTTATCGAGTTGATTCGTGACGACCCTAGAATGCGTGCAATGTTCAAAAGGATTATCCCGGTGAGGAATTTGTCGGCCCAACAATCTATCGCTCCCGATAATCTGAATTGCCCTTACTCTCAACAATGTGCTTATTAGGTTTTCTTTCGGACTAGATTCATAAAGAAACAACCGAGTGCTGGTAAACTCCGTGGAAACAAGGAAACTTTCGATGATATTCTTCATAGTTGTGGGATGCGGAGATTTATTCGAGATAACTCTGCTGCCGGTAATTTCCGGGCGGCGGCGGGTTTTCCTCATCGATTTTCTGCGAAATCTTCATTTGAAGAGAAACGTTGGATTGGTTCGTGGGAGCGAATTGTGATCCGTAGGAGGTTTGTGAGGTTCATCGGAGATCTGTTTTCTTAGAGTGGAGGACGGCTTTTTATACCGCCACGATTTGATTTTTGAGCGGATTCGGTAAGGTTCGCGTTCGTGATCGAATTGTGAACGGTAATTAAATCACCGACGCTCTAATGAGATAAGTTCATTTTTATTGCTCGGGAGCGCTTGGCGATACTTGGCCAGATTCGATGGCGCTGCGTAGGACGCGGTCATTATCGAACATTATTGTACTTTTATCAATAGATAAAGATCTTTATCAATAGATAAAGATAATATCATGGTAATCGAACACAAATCAACTAGAGAGGAAATTAAGGTTCTCCTCTTGGATAAGACGATAATCGAGATTTGACAAAAACTCAACTGACTTGATTATGCAAAGTACCAAGATCTTAATAGAAAAAAAGCAATATTTCAGCTGAAACTAACAAGGAAGGGTATTGATCCCCCTTTGATTTTTATGAGCTATGTTATTATATATTTTAAATCAAAATAAGAAATATATATTTTTTTATACGTGCTCGTTTTGAGTTTTAGGGGGTAAAATACCGTCTTGAAAAAAATCTGTTTTTTTATTTCAAGGCGAATTCAAGGTGGAAATTATAAGAGCTACAAAAAAAATGTTTTGTTACAAATAAAAGTGCAAGTTGAATAGTTACAAAAGTACTTTATAACAGTAATGTAATAAATAATTTACAAAAAATTTGTTTAAATAAATCCCCCATCACTTTATATTTTTTTTTGAAAATTTTGTATTTTTTTATGACAAAATTAAAGATTATTTTAATACCCAGAATTCAACCATATATGATAAAGTTATATTCCGACTTATCATTTTTAAGAAGTAATATGTCTATGTATGTGTGCTATCTGTACTCGATCTTTCACAGGTCGACCTCATATAATGTTGGTTGCGTGAAAGAACGTTGAAGACAAATCAGTACAATATTGTAAATATTGAAATAAAAGTTTTGTAGTAACAATAACAACAACAACAATAATAATAAAAATAATAATTATAATTATAATAAATAATAACAATAATAATACAACATATATAGTGAGTTCATTAAACTGGTAAAGTCGGTCTAATATTTTTGGTAATATATCAAAGCATATACAAGAAATTTTTGACAATAAAAAACAAGTTATAAATAAAGAAATTATTAGTTTTATTGATAGTACAACAGTTAGTAGCAATGATTAATATCGAATATATTCTATTAATCAAGATTTACTAGGATTTATGAAGGAAGAAAAAAAAGTACATATTTAATATTTATATTATTATTGTATTATTATTGTATTATTTATATTATTATTATATTATTATTTATATTATTATTGAAATGTGTATATGGTTTTCACGGTGAGTGATTATACGCAATTTGCGAAATGTGCTTGTCTCTATCATCATTTCCTGTTATTCTAATATTTTCTATTCTATGTTTTCTTCGGAAAATGCGAGAATATGCATGAAGAATCGAACGCACGGATGAATGGCATGCATATATAGGCGTTTGTAATTATTATGAAAATAATATGTCGGAAAAAAACTTTTTTATATGTGAATTCATATTAAAATAACCTTTAATTTCGTCATAAAAATACAAAATTTTCAAAAAAATATAAAATGTGGGGAATTTATTTAAACAAACTTTTTTCTAAATTTTTTTTAAATTATTACCGAGTACCCTAGTACTCGGAGATAGTGAGAGAGTGCTCGACGCCACCAAGGAGATTCTGACGAGATTATCGGCGTAGGAAGCCAAGCGTCCTCGACAACATTTCGGAAAGTGGTAGGAACGGAGGATTTCTATGGAGCGTACTCGACCATGCTGGGATGTATCCCAGTACTTCTTGATTTACTATTCGGTTCTCGGATTCGGAATATCTCTCAACTTCCTTTGCACGATGTTGTGCTCAGGACTTCGAAAACGGGACAGGTCTTCTCTGTGGAAAGTGAGTCCCTTTTATCCGACATCGGCCACGGTATTTCGCTACGGAACGAATTCGGATTGGCCGATCTCCCCCACAGGGTGATAGGAAAATCGGAAATAGAAATAGGAATTGGAGTGAAGAAGATATTTGATTCGGTGGCGCGATATTTGCCACGATGCGGGAAGTGTACAGTTTTATTACGATGCGATATTCGGCACGGCGCGGAGAGCACGCTGGCTCCCTCCTAGGCGCGGTATTACTCCCTGGTTTTCATCGCGGATCATCGCGGATCCGATAAACCCTCCATCTTAGTCGACGGGATAAAGTGAATTGGGAACTCCTGATATCCGGGTCAGATTGACAGCATCCTCAAGACAAATATCCGCGTCGCGTCAAAGTCAGCTGATCGCGCCGGCCTATACGTAAACATTCCGACCACACGCCGCACATCCCGCGCTGCATAATACACACGTCTATACCGTGAGGCGAATAATACCAGTATTCGGAAACATTCTACTTGTCAAATCATATTATTAAAGATTGCAAGACATCGCGAATATTATGTTGTGCGAATCGTTTCGGAGAAGGGTCGGGCGGGTTAGCTAAGATTCTTCGTGTAATTCACGATTGTCGTTGCTTTTGAATAAACTTTATTAAACTGTATATTTTACACTTATTAATTCGGACCGCGACCGACGTGACGGCAATGCAGAGTTTTTACAAGTCCTCCTCCTTGCACCCGTCTTCTGTTTTTATCCTCCTCCCTGCAACCTTGCAGTCTAATAAAATGCTCGTCAGCGTTCGCGGTATATTTTGGGGTTGCGCGGCAGCTTTCGCGTAAAAACCGTGCAATCCGATTGACAATTGCTTTACGTGAAACGGTCACAAAATAAATGCACGATTGCAGTTTAGCAATCATTATTGATTAGCAAGTAATGATATTCGGATGAGGTATCGTACGCTTGCCGCAATCCTCTGCGTCAGCGATAGACGCAATTGCGTTCTTGGCGCTCGCGACAATTATTTGTTATCAATAAGAATTGTTAATAAATATTTTTGTTACCAAATTTCTCTCACTTTCACACTTGACTATCCGAACTGAATGCCTA